TGATGGCACCAGATAGAACTTTTCATGCTCTATCGATTGTAGATCCTATTTTTCACTTTTGACAAAGTCATTAAGCAGAAAATCGCTATGATGACTTTGTCAAAAGTGAGAAGGAAGATGTACAATCGATAGAGTATGGAACGTTCTATCTGGAGCCATCAAAGATAGAGTTGGAGCCAATGAAGACACGAATCGCAACAGCATTTTCTCATGTTTACCCTTGACGCCATATGATCAAGGCACTGATTAGCGATTTTCTCCTTGATGACTTTGTCAAAAGTGAAAAATAGGATCTACAATCGATAGAGCATGAAAAGTTCTGTCTGGTGCCATCAAAGATAGAGTTGGAGCCAATGAAGAAACGAATCGCGGCAGGTTTTCCCGGAATTGCCGAAATTGACTGTCGGTTTTTGACTGTAATCACGGATTTTCTCCTTGATAGTATGATCAATTTTTAGAGCGATACCTGGCGCAGAAAGCGCTGGTCGAGTACTGCTTGGAGCCAACGGAAGCAGAGTTGGAACCAGTCTGTGGGCGAATCCTTTCTGGAATTGCTCGAATCCTGACCTAGGATATCCTACGTGATCAAAAGTCATGTATTGATGCTATTAAATCGACATCAATATGTATACCAATTGTTTTATTTCTATCGATTATTGATTCTATAACAGTAATACCGATTATACATCATTTATCACAATTACAACAAATATATATTTATAAAATTGAGAATTATAATAGCAAAATTGTTTCTACACTAACTGGTTATAGCAAAATACCTAATACATTTAGTTATAGTCAACTAGAAAACCAATTATATGTAGTTTTGTCAAGAATTAGTGGTGAGCAACAAAATCAATCAACTGAGCATGAAAGAGATATTTATAAATAATCAACTAAAATATACACAAAATACAGCAGTAAATAAATAATGCACAACAAGAAGCAGGAGATGATAAATATTATGTTCTGTTTGGTCAAGAAGAAAGCGGAGAGTAATCTTCACTAGAAAACAATAGTGCCACAGATCAAGTAAGATCTGTACACATTCTTTTCACTCTTTCTATGATTTAGAGCTCATTTTGTTTGCGTCACAACGTGTTTCATAGCTGCTTCGATCATGACTGAAAATTTCATCTCGGCACATATCTAACGGAAAAAATTGTAGCGAAGAAAACTGAATTTTAGGCCAAGACGTCAGCACTGGGCATTTTTTAGTTTCTTATTCGGAAAAATGTTTAAGCTATTTTTATCAAAAATTCGAAAATTCACTCAGTCTTTGCATCTTACTCTGAAAACTAACATTGCCACGTAATTCGGCGCAGTCGAGCCTCTTGAAAACCGGCTTCGAAAGTTTTTGCGAAAGTCGTTTTTGCTTTAGAACAGATAGCCTCAAGTTTTGGCTATCCAGTGGCGAAAACCGCAAGTATCTATCTTTATTTGATGCTGAGTTAGTCGAAAAATATCCGAGTCCACTGAATTTTTGGACCGACAATAGTTATCAGTGAACTCTCTCAGTAGTTCTAAATCTCAATTTCGATGAACTTTTGCTCTTCTGTAACTCTCTATGATCTTCTTAATACTTCTAGATTCTTCGGATGAAGGCAATACTCGATGAATGTCAATCATGAATACTCATGATTGAGCCACATCTATACAACTGAACAGTTTTAATCGTAAATTTGTAACTTCCTCAAGAATTGTGTAATGTCATCTCTAAAGTTTCCAATGTGTTCTTTTAAATGTTTTACCTTCATTCCCTGAGTCATACCCTTCTATAGCGAAAGAACGCGCAGATTGAATTGAATTTCTGTAATACATCGAGCGACAAATGGTAATTTTATAAAAAGTAACAAAAATTAATCTGGAGAGTGAAACAATATCGATTTAAACTTGAGAGAATGTTTCATATCTAAAACTCTGTTTCGGCTAGAGAGACCTCTCTGAAAGTCGTTTCCTCTTAATTCCAAATAATTGGGGCATTGCGAATCGTCAAACATTGTGAAGCGGCGAACGTTTGGAAATTTTCGAAAGAATCCTTGAAAAGGATTTTTGGGGCACGAACAAAACTGTTTTGCGTTTTCTTAGCCTTGTTTTGAAAAGTAGTTTCATTTCGCTGGTGCAGGACGAAAACCTTCAGACATTACATAGTTCAAGCCTTCTTTGAGGTGCGTAGAAGAAAACATGACGCCAAAACATGTATTTTGGCTACAGGTATTTTACATGGTCTGTCCATATGCTATCGTTAATTTTACTTTATAGGACGGGATATCAAATGATAAATTACTGAGTTAACGGGACAACGTACAGTGGAAAATATTCCTAGACAAATCGGTTGCGCTTATTCGGACAGGTTCACATAGTGAATACTGTTACGCAGAACTGACGTTACCACTAAAAGCAATGGATTATTTCTGTGAAGATATCAAGTGGCCTCTATAGAATAGGAGAAAAAAATGGAAAACTGGTGAAGGGGTTTTGAACACGTATGCGCTGCGAAATTTGAATCAGTTTACCGGAGTACTTTACCGATTATTTCTTATTTTTAAAACGAAAACAAATTCTAAAATATGTTCATATGGTAAAGTCGCGTTTCGCCAATTCAACTTTCACCAATAGACATTCGCCATATTGGCGACTGGCGAATGTCGTGTGGACATTTGCCAGATTGACATTTGCCATAATTAGCGAATGTCTACTGGCGAACGTTGGCGAAAGTTGAATTAGCGAACAGCGACAAATCCGTTCATATACAAAATGCACGCTCTTGAGCTAGAAACCAGAAAGATCGTGTTTAATTGTTGTTACTGTTGGAATTGATAAAACCTATTCTTTTTCACTTGGTCACACATTTTAACATTGAATTTCGTTTGTATTTTTCCTTTCTGTTCTTTTCATGTTGTTGATCATGTTATTCCACCGTTATAACAGAATCAATAAAAGAAGATGAAAGCTAGCTGATTAAAAAAACACGTTTTTTTTTGCCTAATATTATTAACTTAACAAATGAAGGTTGCATAGAAAAGAAAAAAGCAGTTATTATGTTAAAGAAATAATGTATGAATAAAAATTTGCAAAATATGTATTGACAGTACACAGTTATATGGTGAGTGGGCAGAAATTTTTACTTTACATTATACATACATCTGAAATCCATATCGTTTTCAAATAAAAATTACATCGAACAGAAAGATGCTCATTACTTTTTATTCTATATACCTAACGTTCTAAAAACAGATTCAACATCAACGAAAACTAACGATATAAAGTAAATCTGTTACTTTTCTAAAAAAATTCCAGTTTTACTCTAACATGAAAGACTAACTCATTTATATCGATTTACCATGGTAAGAATGAATATCTAGTAAACAATACAAAGAGATATTCAGAATATATACAGTACTGAAGATTAGAATACATTTGCACGAGAATATCGAAGGTGATCATTTTTGAAGTTTTCTTTTCGCTGCGGTTTTTGTTGGCATCTGATAGTAAAAGAGACTAACGCTGTGACATATAACTGAGATAGTTAAAGTAGCTGCCGTAATTCAAAGCAAAGTGTCAACACTCTAGCATATATGAATTCGCGGCGAGTGAGGGTGAGGGTGGAGAAGTGAGGGCGAAGTGTGTGAAGAAGTTTTCCACTCGCATCCTCACTTCTTCACCCGCGATTGTGCACGTTTTCACTATAACACTTTAACACTATGACATATACGAACCGGCGGCGACGGCGATTTCCGGATGATGCCGTGAAAACGTGCACAATTCAGGGTGAAGAATTGAGGATGCGAGTGGAAAACTTCTTCACACACTTCATCCGCACCCTCACTCGCCGTGAATTTGTATATGCTAAAGTGTTAACACTTTAACATTAAATCCGCGTCGACGGTGATTTCCGGATGTTATGCCAGGTACAATAACTTAAAAAAGTTTATCATGTGTTTTAAACTTCCTCAACTATACACTTCACGTGTCTAACGTTGCGAAACTCACAGCCTACGACTCTAGGGTTTTGTAAGGGCTTTCCAAAAGCATCAAATGAATTTCATGTTTGCGTACACGAATTTTGCGGTAATAATCAAAAAAATTCATATACGAAACCATACGCAATGTATCTGAGCACTAAAAAAATGTACACAGGCATGACGGCTTTCAGAGGATTTAAAGAGTTTTCTAGAAAATATCTAGTGTTTCTACATTTAGTGAAGTCGTATATCATATGTCTCGTTTGTTACAGTAGTGTTATATATTCCTGCTTAATATGTTCTGCTGATAGTCCAAAATATTAATTAACTTTTAGTAATTTTGAAAAAAGATTTTTAATAGGAGTTTGACAACTTTTCGAAGATTTTTTATATGGTTCGTGATTCTTTTGCAAATAATCACATGTAATAAATACGACAGGTGAACTCTTGAAGTAATCTTAGAGTTTTGCTTATAATCCGGAAATTCAGTTTTACTTTATTCTACCCAAATTGTTGACCTTTTATCGAGTAACTTTTACGTTTCAGGAACTTCTAACTTCCGAACGAAATATGCATTTGAGTACTTTCGGACTATTTCTATCTAGATTAGATCTAATTACATAGTATGTGAAGTTTATCAAGATTTGTGTTAGTCATTAAGAATTGGTATGATGTTGTCTGTTGTATTTCCTCTGCAATGACTCACAGCCAAATTTATGTCCGCAGTTTTCTGATAAGCATATTTATTCAAACATTTGTTTCAAATATTTTATTATGAATATATATATTCTGATTGTGTTAAACATCAGTCAATTGTTATTTTCTTTTGAAGTTTAATCGGAGTTCTGAAATTTTTTAGCGCAAAAAATGTAGAATTGTCTATGATTATTATTTTATAGGAAAAATGCGGCAAATGATAACTTTAAATATAAACCAGAGAATAAACGTTATGATGTTACAGTGATATATATTTCTATTTTTGTTCTAATTTTCTGTATTATGCTATCCAATTTTTGTTAATATTCAAATACAGAGATGGATGTTAAGTTAACAGAAATTGTGGACACTAAGACAAAGCATAATAAAGAAAAACCAAACGTGTTTAATGGTAAAAAAGAATTTCAAATATTAGAAAATTCGTTAGAAATCGGTGATGATCATTCGAAAATTGAAGAAAGTTGTGAAAAATTAATAAAAAATTCTAAATGTTTATTAGAATTTAATTATAGTACAAATGAAAAAGAGTTTACACAGTTAACATCAGTAATATATATAATACAATTTGTGTACGTATTATTAATAAACGTACGTCATATTTAGAAGTAAAATCATTAAAACAATTTTTACTTGAGGTAGTACCAGAAATTGCTAATCTTGATATTATTAACGAATTATTAGCTAAAGATAAATTACGTTCATGTAAAATATTTAAACAATTATTTGAAATTATTAATAAAAAGGAAAATTTTTTTAAATATTTTGAATTATATCAAAATACAACAATCATTACTACTACTGATCATATCGCAACAATATCTTTTATATCTAATGATGATGAAGAAAATTCAACATCTAATAACAATAACAACGAAGAAAAAGACTTATCTATATGTCAATATTATGAAAGTATTTTTAATGTTATTATAACAGTAGCTAATCATGCATTACTCTCTAATGACATGTATGAATCAACTGATCTCAACAATTTAAAACAACATTAATAAATTTTAAAAATTATTTGGCACTATATTTTTCTAAATATGAAAATAATAAATTATTTCAGTCATTAACGGAAAGTTTTACATTCGACGGCGATCATGCACTTTGCTTATCAATCTTATATATAATATGGAATCTTGTTGATAAACCAATATTTGTATCAGCATTTATTGAAACGGATTATGCAAAAGCCGTATTAGATTGGATACAACTGCCCTCTATACTATTTACACATAGACGTCCATTAGTTAGTATTGTACATAATCTCGTACATCAGAAACAAGGACAAAATGCATTTAAACAAGAAAATGCTATTGTTATATTAGATAAAATACGTTCAACAATTGAAAATTATGAAGATGATGGCATGAATATAGTTTATTATATGGGATTAATAATGATTGATGGACATGAATTAATTGAAACATTTTTAAAAGAATCTAAAGATTCAATAAAAAATATCCTTAAGAGACTTTTTACTATGAATTTAAGAGCATGTCGTAAGAGATCTTTTACAGAGGACGTCCGGACTTGAAAGAGAATAATTAGACCATAATTGGACAGTCTCTCGAACTATTGCATATCATAATAATGAAAATGCTCGTATACGACAAAAAAACTTTTTTACCTGTTCCAAACGATCTTTAATGTGAGAATAGTAAAAAAGCATTCTTGTATTTCGGAAAATTTCTAGAAAACTGTTTCAAAAAGTAGAGTATTTTCTGTCGAGTTTTAAAGTTTTTATTGAACTGCACAGTATTGAGCAGGTAACTAGAGTACATTGTGATATTCTGACATAGCCTGAATGGATCTTCACTGGGTTATGAATTTTTAAATTTTACTCAAAAATAGACAAAAATGGGATATTTCACCAAATGTACGTTTTCACTAGGGTTTTGAAGCTGTTTTGAAAAATAAATGTTGCCACCGGATTCAGCATAATCGGTAACCTATGTTTTCATTGATTTCTGACAGTCCCAAACCCATCGGTAGAGGAGTCCTAAATCTTCAAGAAAAACGCCCGTAGCTCCCGATCCATGGATTTTCGCGATGTCGGTCGGCTAAGCTTTTGTAGAGGACACCTTGGACCATCTATATATGGAAAAACTGATAGACTTCTATATAAAACTTTGACCTATAAACTGCTTTTCCAGAGATCCATGCAAACAGTTTAGTTTCTGCATATTATTAAGTGCCTCGGTCTTGGCTACAAGATGGCGAAAGCCCGATATCGATAGCTCATTCCGTTCTCGAGTTATTTATGTCGCAATCACTCACACTATATTTTGAAATGGATGCTAGATACCACATCATTTAAAGCTACAAACAGAGCATTTTTATTTAATGTTGATATGACCTAACAGAGTGTACAATCTTTACCCCTTTCTGCCGTATTCGAGCATTTCCATGATTATGACATGCAATAGTCCGAGAGACTGTCTAATTGCGGTCTAATTATTCACTTCCAAGTCCGGACGTCCTCTATACACACTATATTTTGAAATGGATAGTAATTCTATATTTAGACGGTTTTTCCCGAGTATGACAATTTTTACATCTTGATTAGAACAGCTAGACAAATCATAGTAAAAAATTCACATAAAAATTGAATAAAACAGCATTAGTGAGTTTCTGACAACTGAATACAGACAACATCAGGAACAATATTTTCACGAACTATTTGTAAGACGGTTGCGATTAGCCTCCTTATAATATAGCTCAAACTTTTACAAAATGTTCTTCTAACTGTACTGCATCCCTGTGGAAAGTAGGGATGTAGTCGTAGAGGTTCCGTTCTCAACTGCCCACGGTAGTTCTTCAGTGGATGTTCTGAACTGTCAACTGTAGTTTATCAGTCAAAATCCATTGATCGTAGATTTAGATAAGAAAGATGCAATTTATCTGTGTTTTTCCGGTTTTCTGCTTCCGGAGTGTAGCAAATTTGACTTTCACGTAGAAGTTTCTATTTCATTTAGACGGGCTCTTCTTTTTTTGTTTTTGACGTTTAGATTTCCGGATTGCACTCAGCCATAACTGGAATTATATACTTCAGACTTTGTTAGCTACCCAATGACTGATATGTCTACATACCTACTATCTGTAACAACGAGAGCTTAGAGGACAAATCTTTTCAGAAGAGTCTCTTAAAACAGATTCCTAGGCATTCTTTGGAAAATCTTGTTATGTCTCAGAAACTTTCAGTAGGATTAAATTGTTTTATTTTCCATAGATTGGTGTTGTAGATTGTCCTCTTCAAACCTGAGATCAAGCGAGATCTTACTTCTCAATGGTTTGGGTATAGTATCACATTTCCTTGGAAGTAATCAATAATGAAAACCATGTGCTCTTTAAATTCTTTTTTTGTGGAAGTCTTATAAATATAATATAAAATAATCTAAATACTGTACATCTTAACGTTTTGAACTCGTTGTGTTGTTTTTTCTACAAGTACTTAGTGTTTTAACATTAGGTGACGAAGAGCCTGAAAATTCTAGTTAAAGACTCAGCATCACTGATTATCTCAAAGGAAATGCGATTCCATACCCAGACCATTGGGAAGTAAGATCTCGCTTGATCTCAAGTTTGAAGAGAACGTTCTGGACTATCAATCGATGAAAAATAAATCAATTTAATCGTATCGGAGAACGCCTTGGAGCATGTTTTAAGAAACTCTTCTAGAAAGATTTGTGCTTATGGAAATATGCTACTAAGTCTTCTTCCTCGAATGGGGAGAGAACAGTGCAATTATTATATTCCTGTCGATAGTTATTCAAAAAGTCGTCGATGACATTGCTGTTCTTTCTACAGATTGTAGTATTATACACAGTTCCATAGATGATAATGTATGGATTATGAACATGATTGTAGTTTGAAAACTCAGCAGATTGAGAACTCAACGCAGATTCTAGACAGACTTGGTTGCTCTGCACTGAAACTCCAAATTCGGACCTTGAAGTAATTCAAAGGCAAAATTCTTTCGAGTGTTCCGCAATGTAGAGTTACTTTTAATGAAAGTACTCGTGAATAGGCATGTAACGGGGTGGAACGGTTGACCGTAACCGCAAATAATCGTTTTACAACAGCTTAATGTATATGTGGTGTTCTTTGATATCTGTTTACATTAGAAGTAGATAAGAATGATCTTTACCCCGACATTTTAGTGCCTGAAGTTTAGTGACACGAATGCACTTCAAACCTGTGTGGTACTCAAATTCATTGAATGAAATGCTGAGATTCATGCTGAAAAGGTCAAAGATTTTGTTTAAGAAAGTTAAATTACTCTGAAAATAGTGGTTGATGAGATATTCACCGATGCCGTCACTTAACACGTTTTTGTTGTACAGCGTAGTGTAGACTGTCACTATAGCATATGCATTAAAACGTCGGGACAAAGACCATCCTTGTCTATTTCTCATGTAAACAAATATCAAAGAACACCAGATATATACTAAGCTGTTATAAAGCGGTTATCGTTGCATGTCCACTTGCGATTGAAAACTTTTTGTCATGAAACATTACGCTTGAAGGATAACAAGAATTTAAAAAGCCGATTTGTGACAGATTTTTTGCAAATAGAATGAAAAAAAAGTTACAGAACTGTTCAATCAAGCATTTTTCCAACGTGAAATTTCCGTTTATGCTCAGTTATAAACTGTGAAAATTTCGTCGAAGTTGGCGAAGATAATTAAAAAAGCTCGGTTGTGACTGTCGTGCTGTAAATCCCACGAGAAACTTTTCTAAATCCAATAATATTTAATTCTTTAGTATATTCGCTGTGACATTGCCACTTCGCTTGATACAATAACACTTCTTATGTTTAATTTGTGGAAAATGAAAATGCCAACTTTAGTTTTGTCAGTTAGTGGTGGGTTTGATTCTACATTAAATATACACTTCGAAAAAGAATTTATAGAAAGTATTACGGATGTGGTCTTGGGATCAGGTAGATGTTTTTTCGCTACGAACGACTATGTTTTATTACGATATTTTTAACAGATACTTGGATTTTCACCAATAGCAGTAGAAATGAAATTGGTCCTCGATTAGTTGGTGAAATTGTTTATAAAAATCGATTAAATCGTCTACGAAATCCGCATAGTGATGACAAAAATATTTATGCTATTGGCGTATCAAATTGGGCAAATATAAAAAATCGTCAAGAATTAATTCGAAAAGGAAATACTCAGATATTGGGAAGGGTATCATATCGATTACGTATTGCATACTAAAAGAAAATTTATGATAAATTTTGTTTGATAGGCATCGTTGCAAGAACAAAGGGATATTGTTGAACCGAAAAACTTGAACGGTAGACAAGAGTTAGAACCAAATCATACACAATTTATTCTTTTCGATGATGGTACACTGGAACCATCGTATGATGATCGATATCGAGCACATCTTGTACGAGCTATATCACAAGGAGCACAAAGAGCAAGTAATAGAAAATTGAATTTCTTTCTTGATTTTGAATAAAAGACTTATATCATTGTTTAAGTACCCCAAATAACCATCGTTCTCTCTGGTGGTTTAAATACATTAGAAAGCTACGTTTGATGATCTTCGTGCTAAGATACCAGTGGTTATTATTGATGTAAGTAATGCTTTGTTTTCGTTCTGTAGGGCGTAAACGAACGTTATCTGATAACATTTTCAGATAAAAGTATACACCGACATTTCCTCGAACGACATTACTGGCGATAGGCATGCACCAATTCTTTTTTGAAGATTATTAAAAATTATGTCTAGTTCTAAGACTATTTGTTTTAAATGTTTTTGCATACATAGCATTGTTCCCTACCTTTTTCTCTACAGAACGAAGTATAGTGAAGTTTCTATTTGCGTTTGAGAAGGCGAAAACAAGGAAAATATTAACCAATTCCGACCAATTCCAATTTCAATTCCACTTCTGGAAAAATTGCCTAGAATGTTTAATCTAATGCTGACGCAAAATTTTCGAATAGCCTGTTTTGCAGAGAAAAGTCGATGCTACAATCCTACATTGTAGATAAAAATTGGTAACAAATACTTTGAGAGATACAATTATTTTCGTAGATACACCAAAGAACCAATTCTAGGATTGGTGCATAACTTCACTCAGGTTTCATGTATGCATGAGACTTCAGTGAGTGAGAGTATGTGGTGAATAATCATTATGTGATACAGTTACAGATATACAGTTTCGCATCATGAAAATATATTTTGTGTGAAACTATTTTTCGAACTCACTCCCACACTGCCAACATCCCACCACTACCCAATTGTGTACTGTGAAAAATTCGTAGAAGAGTCGGGCAGCTTGTCCAGCTAACGGTCTCCATTTTTTGTTCTTTTTCGAAAAGTGCAATAAAGCTACAAACTAATCTAAAAATGGCAACTAGATAATTAAAATTAGCAAAACATTGTGGACTCGATGTGATTCGAAGCGCCACCACCAATAGAGTTTTGGGTCTAGAGTGATTTTAGCAACGTCTCGGTACTCAGTTTTTGATGCTGAATCTGAAAAAATTAGTTTCAGAAGCTGCAAAAAAAAAGAAAAAAGAAAATTTTTTCACGTTTCGAAAACGATGTGTTTTTCTCGAAAAACGATACCTCTCGAGTATTTCGTATTTTTCGACCGGAAGAAAGCATTTGCTATGGCTGAAAAGTAGATTTTCGTGATCAGCAGCTCACGCTCTATCAAATGGTGTAAAAAAGCAGGAAATTTGAATGAATACTTTGATTTGATCTGAATACTGATAAACTGATGCTCTTACTATATGCAGTTGAATCTTACGTAAACCTGTACCATAGTTACTTCGTTTACTGTAGCGGATCTCATATCATCTTCATTCACAGTAGGAATACATCCAAGTTACTGGCAGTTAGGTTACATAAATACACTCTTCAAAGCTGGTCATATTCATAATACATCTAATTATCGCCTTATTAGGTTGCTAGCGCAGTTCTCAAAATGTGCGACCGTCTAATCCATCACAAAGTCTTCGAGTATTTCACTGAACATAGTTTGTTGATCCGACATCAATCAAAATTTCGAAAAAACCGCCGATATAATAAATAAACTGCATGATACTATTCACTATCCTGATAAAAACATTGATGACTGAAGATTTATTCAAGATGTGTTTCTTGATGTCAGCGAGGCATTCGATTCTGTTTGGCACAGAGGCTTGTTACATAAATTGGTGAATGACGGTATTAGGAAGTCACTATCGTCTGTTCAAGTCTTATCGGCGTGATTGTTGAATATGGACGGTGGTTTAAAATGCAACATTGACAGGCTGTATAGGTAATTCTAGACGTTCCCAGAGTTCGATTTTGGGACCTTTTGTTTTTGTCATGCTACTGCTGCAAAATTTTCCGTGTGATCCCAACGTTTTTTTTGTTTGAATCATAACTGAGCAGAGGAGTGATCTTTCAAAAAACGGTTTTTATCAAAATGTTGCCCATCGAGTCGAATGATGTACTTTTTTTTATCATAATCGATTGGTTTTGTTTTTTTCTGAAAGTTACTGAGATTTTCACCAAAAAAGGAAAATCAACGAAAATTTTCGGAACATATATCATTCAATTCAGTTATTGATGCTGACGCCGAATATGATATTTTTATTGAATAAAAATGAATTCTAGTTGAGAAAATAGAGAACTATAGACAGAATTCCGATTTTTTCGCTCCTGATTTAGAAAAAATGTATTCTCGTAGTGATAAAGCAAAAGAAACGAAAAAGGGAATCCGTACTTTTAAACCTCGCTTACTGGTAGTTCTAATGAATATAAATAAGTCATAAAGAAAATGAAAAAAGTAAAAAACCTGCAAAAATAAAGATGCTTTGAATGAGATTCGTAACAAACGGACGAAAAAAAATGTGTCTATGTTTTTTGTAAAATTTTAAATCAGCCGTTTTCTTATGAAGCTTCTGATGCTCTTTCCATTGATATGTTTTAAAAAAATTTCATCCGTTCATTACCAAGATACAGAGTTTATATGTTGAGCATGCCAACTTTACCTTAAAACCGGTCTACCGGCCCCGAGAAACTTTTTTCAAAAACCTTTTTTACAACGTTCGTCATCTTCTCTACTTCCGTTGATACAGTTTTCACAGCTTTAAACTTCCTTGACGGATCAAAAAATCAATTATATTATCGTCCGAAAATTTTTTGCAGCTCATCGGTATTTGTGTAAGTTGTATGGTAACGATAGAGGTTAGTTCGGAGATGTTATTGATGTGAAGATGTCAACTGTCTCTTTAAATTGATAACTGCAATAGTTAGCTGACAGCATGACGTATGGTTACAGAATTTTAATTCAAAGAAATATCAAGTCTTGCAGTTCGAAAAAAATCAAACTTCATCCTCATCACTAATAATCCCCAATTTTGCGTCAGACTGATGAACATGTAACTTACGCCTTGTAACATTTTGCTGCAAATATATGACTGGGATCAAACACATCGACAAACTCGTTGTGAAAGTAAATTAGTTCCTTAGATTAACGATATTTTGTAGATGAATGCTAATAAGACGTACTCATTAACAACCAATTGTAACCTTTTTTAATTAGATGAAGTACAGAAAAGAGTGATAACTAGAACATCGATAGTACTACTAGTACTACTATCTGTTTCACTGAATAACGAACTCCGATGTTTTGCTTATATCTTCTGAAGGAAAAGAGCTATCGTCCAGTGGTTTTCAGATTCTGAAACTAGACACTTTTAGCTGGAAACCTATGAAGAAATCAGATTTACCGAGCAGGTTTACCATGATGTATCATTCGAGACAAATTCGAAAGTTCACCGTTCCCTGACCACATAATGAAATCCGTACTTAAATAATACCAATCGATAGCCAGCACATTGCTCTTCAGAACTATTTAAGCCTTCGGTCGCCATCTTCTCCGGTTTCGGCGATACAGGCGTTTTCCGAGGACACATCTGTATCGCTCTAGACTCGCCTGAGAATCTCAGAAACACCAGGAACATAGGTAATCGAGCATGCTAATCATCGTGGCAATGTTTATTTTTCGAAAAGCTTCATCAACCTCATAAAAATCTATACTATTTGAAATAATCCATTTTCCACTATTTGCATCGAAAATTAAAAAATTGATAACCACTCAAAACTCTTCCAAACTGCTTCAAAATATCAACATATACCTGATTTTATCTACGCTACAACCTGAAGTTCAATAACAGTTTTAATAACCAACAAAAAGCACTTTGGGTTTTGAAAGGTTCTCTAGAAATCTTTCGGAATAAGGGAATATTTTGTGCTGATTTCTACTTTAGAATATAGTTAAACAGTTCGGGACTTAAGAAGTGCCTTGTATATAACGAACACTTTTTTGTATGTCTTTCTAAAATGACAATAATGAAAATAGATTCTTCAATCACACACATGTCTGCCGTATAGCTTATACAAAGTATGGACTATATGCAT